ATATATAAAAATACTTTGTATATATTATTTATTATTTTTCAATAAAAAGTATAGTAATGATAATAATGTGTATTAATGTAACATATAAAAACCAAAAGATTGGTAAACAAAAGGTTGTAACGTACCGTGGCTTTAATCTGATTAGATTATTGTCAATTAATTAAGTTTGCTTTTCTGGAATTGAATTGTGACTTTGTGATTGAATTATTCTACATAAGGTTTAAACGTACCTCTTGAAGAATGCACTTAATGTGTTGGTCCCATGGTTACGCACCAGGCCGGCTTACTTGGATTGCCGAATTTTTCTTACAGCTCTTGGATTCTACTCGTATTGATTAACATCTTCACAAGTCACAAACAGAAGACACGGTATATATAAATGTAAACATTCAAAAAATCAATTGTAATTGCAGTACATTTCCTCCAACACCGTGAATGAATGTTTATAATGGACTAAGCATGCGATTTTTCTACAGGTAATGGTAATTATTGTAATGAATGTAACCATCCATACGTCCACGTTTTGATCGTTGAGTGGAAACTGCCATATGCCCGTATGCAACCTCCGCGTACTACGAAAAATGTAATATCAACAAAATTTAGACCATACAATATTTCAGATTTCCACGTGTACACATCTGGGGCTTCTATTGTCACGTGTGTCCATTCTCTGCATTTGCCGATCAGCACAAAAAGTCTTGGAAATTATGTTCAATTAAATTTTCATATTCTCATATTATGCACTACAGGGGCACGTCTATCCAATTTTATTTACTTTTGCTGAATGTGCCACGTGTGCTAAATGTGCCAACGTATCAACAAAAAGGTTTTAGGGAGGGAACAGTTATCTCCCACGGTTCCCTTTTTATATATATATAGATTATTTTTAATATAAAAGTGTTGTAAAATGAAGAAGATGAAGACTTAAATAAAGAGATAGATATATTGATAAAAAACCTCTAAATCACTTCTTCTTAATATAACTGATAATTTCTGAGTTTCTAAGTACATTTACAAGGCATCACCAAACCCCTATTTATACTGATGGAGCTTGGTGATGAATCATCAAAGAATCATTCTACATAATATGCTGGCAACATTAAACCTAGCCATCTGTTTATTACAAGGATGGAAATTGGATTAGTGTCCTGATGACAAGGATGAACAATTCACACTTGTCATTCTCAGGAATTTACAACACTCCCCCTTGAATGTTCATCCTTGAATAGTTATTTGTTATTTAAAAACTTGTTGTGAAATTAAGGGGTAAAAATTACGACTTATAATGTCATTGTATTTGGATGTACTGTCTCGTTAAAAACCTTATCAGGAAAAACCCAGTGGGATAAAAACCTGATGAAGGGAAAAAGAGTGCAGTGCATTCAAATACTCCCCCTGAATTTAGTATAAATTATGAAGACGTCGCATGCCGATTTTCTGTACAAGTTCCATGAACTTCTTCGGAGGTAAAGATTTGGTGAAGAGATCGGCTGGATTTTCACTGGATCTGATTTGTTGAATGTTGATCGTCCCTTCTTTCTCCAGATCATGAGTAGAGAAGAATTTTGGTGATATGTGTTTTCTTCTGTCACCTTTGATGTAGCCTTCTTTAATCTGAGCTATGCACGCAATGTTGTCTTCGTAGATCACTGTCGGGTGACAAGTAATAGGCTTTATACCGCATTCATTTTGGATGTGTTGAATCATAGATCGCAGCCACACGCATTCCCTCCCGGTTTCATAAAGTGCAATTAACTCCGAATGATTTGATGATGTAGCTGTCAACGTCTGTTTCATAGATCTCCAAGAGATTGCGGTATTACCATAAGTAAATACGTACCCGGTTTGTGATTTTGCCTTTTGAGGATCTGATAGGTATCTAGCGTCTGCATATCCGATTAAAGAAGCTTTTGCATCTTTGTGGTAGAATAGGCCGAGATCAACTGTACCACGGAGATAACGGAATATGTGCTTGATCCCGTTCCAATGACGTCTTGTTGGGCATGAACTGTATCTAGCTAATAAATTTACAGAAAATGCAATATCTGGTCTAGTATTATTAGCTAAATACATTAAAGCTCCAATAGCACTCAGATATGGTACTTCAGGACCGAGTATTTCTTCGTCGTCTTCTCGGGGACGAAATGGATCATCGTGTATGTTGAGAGATCGAATGACCATTGGTGAAGTCAAAGGATGAGCTTTGTCCATATAGAATCTCTTCAACACTTTCTCGGTGTAATTGGATTGGTGGATGAAAATTCCATTCTTCAAATGCTCAATTTGAAGTCCGAGACAAAATTTGGTTCTCCCGAGATCTTTCATTTCAAATTCTTTCATAAGATATTTTGCAGTATTTTCAATTTCATCGGGAGTTCCAATAATGTTTAAGTCATCAACATATACTGCAATTATGGCGAATCCCGAATTTGATCGCCGAATGAAAACACATGGACTAATCGGATCATTCTTATATCCTTCTTTGAGAAGGTATTCACTGAGACGATTATACCACATTCGTCCAGATTGTTTTAGTCCATACAATGACTTTTGTAATTTAATGGAAAACATGTCTCGGGGTTTCGAGCTATAAGCTTCAGGCATTTTAAATCCACCGGGAACTTTCATATAAATGTCTGTATCAAGTGAACCGTATAAATATGCGGTCACTACATCCATTAGGCGCATTTGCAGCCTTTGAAAAACAAACATGCCAATGAAAAACCTTAATGTAGTTGCATCCACTACTGGAGAATAGGTTTCTTCATAATCAATTCCCGGCATTTGAGAAAAACCTTGGACAACAAGTCGGGCTTTATATCTAACAATTTCATTCTTTTCATTGCGTTTACGCACAAATACCCATTTAAAACCCACAGGTTTTACGCCTTTTGGCGTAGGGACTATCAGTCCAAAAACATCACGTTTTTCAAGTGATTTTAATTCAGCCTGAATAGCTTCATTCCATTTTGGCCAATCGTGTCGTTTCCGACATTCTTCTATTGATGTTGGCTCATTGTCATTGTTTTCATTCATAACATTTGTGGCAACGGCATAGACAAATATCTCATTAATATCAATATCTTTTCGATTCCATTGCATTCCAGTAGAAACGTAATTTATTGAAATTTCATAATTATCAACGTTTCTATCAGTATCTGGAATATCTTCCTCATTTAAGGAAGTTGAATCATTATTTGAGATGTTTGTTTTGTCAATATCATTTTCTATGCCAGTATTTTCAAATTGTTCATTTTCTTGTTCAGAAGGATGAACATCTTTGGCATCACAAATCAATTCCTGCCTTTTAGTCTTTCTTGGTTTTATGTCTTTTGATCCAAGTGGTCTGCCACGCTTTTTGCGTATAGAAGAATCATTTGCAAGAGATTTTTCAGAATTCTCCGCTGGAATTTCAATTCTGGCAGGGACATTCATAGAAGGAATATGTGACTTTGTCACTTTCTTTGTATCTGTGAATGCATCAGGCAACTGATTTGCAACATTTTGTAAATGGATTATCTTTTGCACCTCTTGCTCACATATATTTGATTTAGAATCAAGGTGTGATAATCTTGTTGCATTCCATGTTATTTCTTTCGTACTTGGGTCCGATTTATTAGTTTCTCCCCCTAAGGTTGGGAATACTGTCTCATTGAAATGACAATCAGCGAACCGTGCGGTGAATAAGTCACCAGTCATCGGTTCAAGATATTTTATTATTGAGGGAGATTCAAATCCAACATAAATTCCCAACCTTCTTTGAGGACCCAGTTTTGTACGATGAGGTGGAGCAATCGGAACATAAACAACACAAGTTACACAACCAAATATCTTTATGTGTGCTAAGTTTGGCTCTTGTCCAGTAACTAATTGCATTGGGGAATATTCATGATACGCAGTCGGTCTAAGCCGAATGAAATTTGCTGCATGCAAAATAGCATGTCCCCAAGCTGATGAAGGTAAATTACACTTCATTAATAATGGTCTGGCGATTAATTGTAATCGTTTAATCAAAGATTCAGCAAGACCATTTTGTGTATGGACATGAGCAACTAGGTGCTCCACATCAATCCCAATTGACATACAATAGTCGTTAAATGATTGGGAAGTAAATTCTCCTGCATTATCAAGTCGGATTCTCTGTATAGAATGATCCGGAAAATGAGCTCTTAATCGTATAATTTGAGCAAGGAGTTTAGCAAATGCTAAATTTCTAGTCGATAAAAGACTAACATGTGATCAACGTGTTGAAGCATCAATCAACACCATAAAATATTGAAATGGTCCACATGGCGGGGCTATCGGCCCACAAATATCTCCTTGAATCCTTTCTAAAAATGCAGGTGATTCAGTTGCAATTTTGGTCTTAGAAGGCCTGATGATCATTTTGCCAAGAGAACAGGCCTTACAAGGAAAATCACTTGATAATGGAACCCTGATATTCTTTAATGGGTGTCCAAGTGAAGTTTTAATGATTTTATGCATCATTACTTGGCCTGGGTGACCTAAACGGTCATGCCACAACATGAATGTTTTCTGATCATCTAACTTTGCGTTAGAGACCAAATTTATTTCGAATGGACTAATATAAGTGAAATATAGTCCTGAGGAATAAGCTGACATTTTTTCACAAATATGTTTAGTGCCAGATTTAGTTGTCGTAAGACAAAGATATTCCTTTTGGTTTTCATTCATGGTTTCTATGTGATAACCATTTTGACGCATATCTTTAAAGCTTAATAAATTTCTCCGCGATTTGCTGGAGTATAAAGCGTCATTTATAAGTAATTTTGTCCCGTTAGGGAACATCACATATGCTTTCCCAGAGCCTTCAATGAGCTTCGCAACACCTGATATTGTATTGACTTTAGCTTCAACTAAAGTCATTTGAGAAAAATAGATTTTATTCCTCAAAATGGTGTGCGTTGTGGCGCTGTCTATCAGACATAGCTCTTTATCACTTGATTGATCCATATCTTCAATATATAAATAAGCATAAGTTTGATATGCAAATAACACAAATTATGCATCATATATAACATTAAAGTACATTTATTACATAACTTATTTATGATAACATCATAAAGGATACGAAAGAAAATACATAATTTACAATATGAAAGTCCTATAATTTATTTTGTGTCATTTGGATTAGTGGCAAAAGCATCGTCCATAATGACATCATCCACGAAAAAATCGGACACGTCAAACTTTGGCAGAGGTGGAGTTGTGTCATTGACATAATTAGCTTCCATATTTTTATCTTTGTTGAGATTCATGGAAGCTTGAAATAATTCCACCAAATGCTTTGCTGTACGGCATTTGTTAGCCCAGTGCCCCGTCATACCACATTTATAACAAGTTGACTTTCCCGAGGATTTTGGAGGGCGATTTATTTGATGGGCCTTTTGTTTGCCCTTGCCTTTATAATTTGGTCTATTGACCTGTTTATATCCCCGGTTAGGCTTGTTATTATGACCATTAAAATGCCCGTGTTTAAAATGCCTTCGCGTGCCACTGTGTGTTGCGTTTGATTCAGTGGCTATATTATGTCCAGATGGACCATAAATCGAAGGACTAGAACCAGTGGGTCTTAAATTGTGATTCTTCATCAAAAGGTCATTATTTTGCTCAGCTACAAGTAATACTGATATTAAGTCGGAGTATTTTTTAAAACCCTTTTCTCTATATTGCTGCTGTAGCAGCATATTAGAAATATGCATTGTAGAAAAGGTTTTCTCCAACATATCAGCATCAGTGACTTTTTGTCCGCATAACTTTAGTTTAGATGTTATTTGGAACATGGAAGAATTATAGTCACTGATTGATTTAAAATCCTGGAATCTTAAATTGATCCAGTCATACTGAGCTTTTGGCAAAAGTACCTTTTGCTGGTGGCCATACCTCTCTTGTAAATTGTCCCATAATTCTTTTGGATCATCAACCAAAAGATATTCAGATTTGAGACTTTCATGGAGGTGATGACGGAGGAAAATGATAGCTTTCGCTTTGTTTTGGGAAGATGATGGCTTATTTGCCTCAATAGTGTCTTCGAGACCGTTGGCCTTTAAATGTGCTAAAGCATCCACTTTCCATTCCAAATATTTTTGACCGGACAGATCAAGAACGTCGAATTCTTTTTTGCTTATGTTTGCCATAATACTACAAGAGTTATAGACATTTATTACTAAACATTTTACAAAATGTAAATAAATATGGTATCATATTCATTCATAATATACGTAAACTTTAATAATGTACGTGCCCTTTTATATAAATATGTATTCATTCATTTCAATATTATTAAAATTAAATGTGCACCTGTGTAAATTATACTATCGGTACTAGTAATAAGGATTTCTCAACTCTTAAGATTCAGTTTAATTTTATTTTTAGAATTCAACCTATTTTATTTTTTATACTCCTTCGGTTTTCATCTTCATTGCTCCATGTTATTTCAGAACTACTCATTATGTAGTACAAGTATTAACTAATACGTAGTACATAGTATTAGGGAGTAATGAATTTCATCTAGTTTAAAATTAAACAATCGCCTCTTGGACAGGTTATTATATTTGTTTTCTTATGACCCGTGAATATACTTCGTAAAACACACATGCAGCAGGTTGACAACTGTCCAGTGTACTAATAAAGTCTGTATACTTCTCGATTTAAGACCCGTGAATATCCATCTCTAACATAAATTGGAACTCATACTCCACCGCCTGCTATTTTATCATCTCATTTCTTCCTACATTGGCCGACTCTTTCCTTAAGTCAATACTTATATCACAGAAATTTGAAATTTCAATTTTAGTTCTCTATCTTTCATTCTATCACGTACTCCTTATAAACAATATCCAACCACTATTCTATTTATATTTCTCATTTTTCAACTTCTGTATTACTGGGTATTCTATGGTGGAGTATTATGACTTATCTTTCGTAATTAAGTCAATTTTCTCTTCTCCTGTTAGAGTTTTATCAAAATTGATTGAAGAAATCAAACTGTTCAGAGGTATGTTATCTATATTTTCTTTCCGTATATGATAGAAAATTTATTTAAAACATAGAATAAATTTCAGGTTTGAATACTAAAAGAAGATAATAAATATCGATGCTAATACCTGTAGGAGATGATGATTTCTTGAAGAGTTTTGAGCAGTTTCGTGCTGATAACGTGTTGTAAAATGAAGAAGATGAAGACTTAAATAAAGAGATAGATATATTGATAAAAAACCTCTAAATCACTTCTTCTTAATATAACTGATAATTTCTGAGTTTCTAAGTACATTTACAAGGCATCACCAAACCCCTATTTATACTGATGGAGCTTGGTGATGAATCATCAAAGAATCATTCTACATAATATGCTGGCAACATTAAACCTAGCCATCTGTTTATTACAAGGATGGAAATTGGATTAGTGTCCTGATGACAAGGATGAACAATTCACACTTGTCATTCTCAGGAATTTACAACAAAAAGAACGTAACACTTGACATTCTATCTTAATACAAGATCCACCCTACGTATTCAATTCTATTATGGAGTATATATATACGTAGTACTACTACACTACTACGTATTAAACTACTACGTATTTATCTTTGCGCTTAAATTGATACATACATATACTTCTAGACTAAGTAATGGAGCAACTAACTCGCTCAAATATTTACGTATGAGAAGAAAAAATATACTCATAGGAATAGAGATGATCCAGATGTCACCCGCAACAAGCACTTTAGTTTTGCTTGTGCGCATCAACGACTAACAAGATAGTGAGTAGTGACCTCATTTTCACACTTTACCCGTGAAGACATAAAGTTTGAGCGTTCTCCAAGAAATTTTGAAAATATGATCCACTACTAATATTTGTATAACTATGAGCTTGTTTGATTACATTGAAAATGATTGAACCCGGTTGAATGTGTTGATCGAAACGTAACTAATGAAGCTTTTATTGAAGTTGTTGAATTGACTGAACCTACCGTATTATTGAAAAATTAAATTTAAAATATATTTCATCAATGAAATAAAAAGAAAAATATAAAAATAACTAAAATGACATTGTACAACAACTTCAGTAAAACTATGTACAAGTTTGAAAACTACATTTAAAATTTAGAATTTGATTAAAATAAGACAAAAGTATTGTCAAAGTTCTAAAATAGGATCCAATAAGTTCTCTTCCTAAAACCAGACTTAGGACGTTTTCTTTTGGACTGAAATTTGTTGGTCTGGTCTGATCTGATCTGGTCTCTGTGCATTTTATAACTTCGGAAGTCTGGTCTGGTCCGGAAAACAGTCCAAAAGAAAATATCCTTACTTAATCCTAATAAAAGAATAAGTAAACTAAAATTTCAAAATATGCATGCATAAATCTATTTGGAGATTTTTTATGTATGTTGCGCGTCCTGCCTGTATACATCGATCTTAAGTCACGAAATAAAAAAGGTGGAATCTTAGGCATGAATACATTCTAGAGTACTGCACCTTTCTGATTAGGATAGTGTAAAGTTAGATGCATGGCCGTTTCGTGCAATATGATGCCCATCCACTTTGTGTGTGTATATATATGCGCACACACATATATATGCAAAAACGTAATTGCAAGATCGATGCATTAATTTAAGTAATTAATAATTAAGCTAGATATATATTGGCAGTAACATAAATAAGGGGCGGGGAGCGGCGGCGGCATATCTATTCATGGCGGAGAATAATTTGCAGATTGTTCCGGTGGGGACATCATCCAGCATAAGGAAAGTGGAAGCGCAATATGTAGAAATGATGGTTCCTCTCTATTCTCACGGATGCGTGAGGAAGGTCAAGAACGCCTTATCCCATATTAGAGGTACGCATTGGCATATTGGGGACAATTTAGGCACTAGTCCAGCTCAAATTTTAAAAATATCAAAAATAATAATACGTGTAAAATTTCTTGTGTTAAATATTTCCAAAAATTTGGGTTTTCATTATTTTGGCATTGGTTTTTAAAGTGATGTCACGTTTTCTTGTTTATTCTAGCATTTGAGCGGGTTTCATGATGTACATATTTGACTCTTAAGTAACAAAATTACATTTTGAGATTGGAAGCTGAATGGGGAATGTGTTTCCAATAAACAGAGACAATTTTTCATTAATTATATACCACGGAGTAGCATATCTAGTTATGAGCAATGAGTCTTATATATGATCAATTTGAAATATTAGAAGAATATGTTTGAATATTAATTGGAATGAGCTTGAACTGCTCATAGATTTAAATTATAAATTCAATCCCCGAGGCCACCCGGCCAATTTGCTCATTGATGTAATGGTACATCTAGTTTCTTCAATTGTGGAGGATGATCCTCATCGATCTTAATATTCACAATAATTTTTGCAGCGTACTCATCTTGTATGGAATAACATTTCATAAGAGTGTACAAAAAAATAAGGCTTATGGTACACAATAAATGGATGAAATGGTGCAGGAATATACTCGGTGAATGTGGAATTTAAAGAGCAGAAGGTGACAGTGTGGGGGATATGCAACAAATATGATGTTTTGTCAACAATTAGGAAAAAGAGGAAAGATGCTCGCTTTTGGAATCCTGAAGACAACGACGACGATGTTGAACCAGAAGGAGGCGAGGAAGAACAAGTGTTATCGCAGTCATTGATGACGAAAGTATCATCACCATTTCTAAAACGTCGTCGTTCGGCCCAACCTCTGGCCCTGCTTAGGACTCGCTCGCTATTGAGCTGGAAATTATCTCTGAAAAGGGCTTTTTCGAGGAGTCACTCATTTTAAATATGTCATGAATGCGCATTGTTTAATAATGTACATTTAAATGAGTTCTGTTTGTTTGTACTTAATATTTATAATCAATATTTGGACTAAGATGCATTTATGTAGTATTATATACGTTGCACGAAGTAATAATCTATTATACTTGCAGCAAATTGTGGGATGGGAAGACTAAAAAAGTGTAATATTGCTAGATATAAGTGACAAGTTTTGTGCCTCGCAGTGAAATACACTCCCTTTTTCAATCATTTTATGTACACTTTCAATCTAACTAGTTTTGTACCCGGGCGTTGCCCCGGGACAATTTGCGTATAATATATATTTTTAGTTTTCATATTGTATGTTTATAGTATTTTACTGTATAAAGTTACTAATTCCTATTCGTACGTAAAGCACCAGGATGTGTATTTATGATAATAATAATAATAATACAGAGTAATAAAGATCATACATTTTGTAACATCGTGATATGTCTAAGAGCCCGTTTGGTGACCTCCTTTTTCGGCTCCTTTTTCGGCTTATTAGGGTTATCAGCCAGTTTTTTCACCAAACATGTAATTTTTTATTTCGCGCACCGAATTTTGTAATAAGCAGAAAAAGTAAGGTTGGTGTTGTTTTTCTGGCTATATTGGCTGAAGTTACTGTAGATGACCATTTTAGCTATTTTTACATATACTTCCTCCGTTCTTTTTTATTAATCCTTCTTTCCTTTTTGGGACGTTTTTTTTTTCCTCCATTCCATTTAAGAAAAGTTTTTGAGAAAATACCCTCACTTTTATTACTTTTACCCCAATTACTTTTTACAAACTACTTTCTCATTCCTACTTTACCATCACTTTACTCTTCTTAATAGTTAATACACTCTCTTTCTTACTTTATCATCACTTTACTCTTTTTAATATTTTTTCTTTCCTACTTTATCATTTACCCTACACATTCTATACTTACCCTACTACATTATTATTAAAACTCGTGCCAAACCCTAAGAGAACTAATAAAAAAGAACGGAAGAAGTACTTTTTTCTTTATCTTATTAATAGAATATATTTTAAAAATATTTTTTTTCTTAAATCAGCAGAATCAGCCAATGCAGCCACTTCAGCCAGAACTTCATAAATTTCAGCAGAATCAGCCAAAACAGCCGATTTCCGTGCTACCAATAAACGGGCTCTAAAAGCACATAAAAATTTGGAAAGGCTATGTTTCTCAATTTTGTAAAACTTTTCTATAGACAACATTATATTTATGGTCTTGGTAGAAAACCTCGTAGAGTGAATTAAAATATTTTATCCATCTTTGTTGGAGATTCATTCAAATATTGTGGATCTTATTCTAGTGAAACATTGACTATTTGTAGTGAATGGGCAAGATAAACTACAAAAAGAAAAAATAAACATTAGGATAATGAAATGTATTTGGAGTAAGTTTAATTACATGCTAACACATAAATATGAATCTAACATAATAATTTATTCTCCAAAGCCTGCACTATATACATATTTACCAATAATTGAACATAGCCTCTATAAGTTTTTCTTTTTTTGAATTTTTTATGACAGAAAAATCACACTATTAGTACCTGAAATAGTCAGCATATTGAAATGCTAGACCCCCATTTCTGATATGGTAAATGTCACCCCTCAATTGTCCAAATTGTTGTAAATGCGCCCCTTTGGGAGGTGAAGTGAACTCCTAGTCTACATTGTAAAATAGCAATTACTGAGAGCAATAGTGCAAATAGAAAAGCTTTCTCTTTAGATAAAACAATTACTTCACACTTTTCCAACAACTCTCTAGATTTAACTATTTTGGACTCAAAATTCTTGTCTCGCTCTTCAAATTCAGTGAATCGCCTCTTTAGTGACATCTCAATATCGTGACAATTTTCTCCAAGTTGCATCCATTTCAGGTTGAGAGCAACAAAGTAGTAACTCTCAATATCAGTCATCACTCTATGCAGTTGCACTTGTGGAGTCCATGTTAGAAGAGAAAGGTTCAGGGTTTGGAGTGGAGCTTCACCCAACATGGTCACTCATCAAGGTAGCATGTACGTAGTCAATCTGTCTGGGAGTTGCTCTTGTGTAGCAATATTGTGTTACAATTACAATATGTAAGTTTTACTTCTTTCATTGTAACATGTGATCTATCTTCCCTATAATTCATGAAGGAGAGGATCCGGTAGTTCAATATTTTTTCCACAATTTTATTCAATCAGACATTATTGATATTCTATATGTTATTTTATCAATTGGACTTCTATCTGATAAATGTGTAATATTACAGTTTTTATTTATTTTAATAAATTAATCAATGGGAATATTTCCTTGAATAATTAGGTGAGGTTTATGTCCATATATTTGTAGATCCACAATTATATCTAAGGCTGCTCCTTGGAAAAGAATGTCATAGTGTGATTCAATATTGCATGTTTAGAAATCAATAATAACAACAAATGTAATGTTAGTCTAGTTTCTTTAATTAGTGACAAACCATGTTCAGACTTTATCACAAAAAGG